GCGTAAACATAAAACCATGTCTGCATTTGTGATCGGAGAAATGACAAACAACAAGCCTACTCTACACTGCTCAAAACTCGCGTTTTGAATTATCATTGGCAAATTATTTAAATATAAAAAACGTACTTACAGGCTGTGAGTCAGAAGCGCCAGACTGTCCTTGCAAAGTTGGAACTGCCCCACTTTATAGAAACAGCCTTTGTGCCACAGACACATTGTAGGCTACTGGTTCAGGAAACAGTCCTCCATAAAATGCGCAGCTCACATCTGAATATTTGGGTTGAAGTGTTCTGGAACAGTGTTGTAAATACAACTTAACCACTGATTTCTAGTCGTGTCCTCTTTTGGAAGACCAAACAAAGTAGTTTCGCTTTCACAACGACTCCACAACATGGCTGCGGCGGCAACAGCAAGAATAAAAGTTACCCCTTCTTTCTTTGCGTGAACATTTGGGCTGCATTATGCAAATGAGGGATGTCAACGATTAATCGATGATCGATTAATTGTCGAAAAGAGATTTAATCTATTAAAGCTACTCATAATTACAAATTAAGCTTTTAATGTGATTTAAACTTTAAAATTGAAATTCTATTTACATTCAAATAGAAACAACACAAAGTTCTTCAACGTGGAATGCAATAGAAATGTAGTAACAGTCATTTCCCCAGATAATTGTTTCATATTTGAAACAATTAGGTGAAGGTTGCAGGGCTGCGGGACACTGCGGGGAAAGGATAGGCTATTCATTCCTATAACTTGCTGTGGTGTTGTCAGCCCAGGAGAGATCCTCTGTGATGTGCAAATTAATTCATGGCCATGCAATCTTTCATTTCCATTAGATGCGAAAACGGTGATAAAAAGCGAATGACAATAAAATAAACCTGCGAAATTAGAGGGTTAGACGGTGAGGATTTACTAATAATAATAAACCAATAACTAGTCAGTCTCTACCTTGGCATGCTGAAACTCTTTCCAGCCAAATGTTGCAAGCAGATTAATCTGTCATAGGTGACTGTATTTATAAAACACTACGTTGCCACTCTCGGGAATTGTCACTTGGCAGTGACTTTGGCCTGGGCATGAAGTGATAAACGTCCCTGGAGGACTAATAATGGAGATGTGGACATGAAACAAAAGCACTCGGTTACAGTTATGTTTGTGTGTAGTTTGTCTCTTTAATCCAGGCATTCAGTGATCTGATGATTTTCTTGGCAGAGTGTGCATATGACACTTGTTTCCTCCTCATGTTTTGACAAAAATGGTGCATAATCCGACTGATATTTCTTCATATTAGTGAAGTCTCTGTGTTTTTATGATTCTTTGCTCACACCCCTTTCTTCTTTCCTCCATTTAGAGACATTATGTCCATTTATAAAGAACCTCCTCCAGGTATGTTTGTGGTTCCCGACCCTCATGACATGACCAAGGTAAGCATCAGCACACTTCTCCCTTACAATTATGCTGATTATTTCAAAACTCCTCGTTCTGTTCTCTGCTCCCTGAACAGTGAAGGTATTAATTGCATGTGCACAGTTACAGTATTAGGTTTCATGAACTAACAATGAACAGTAGGCTACTTTTACAGCATTTATCATTCTAGATTAATGTTAATTTCAACATACACACTACTAAAGTTCGGGGTCAGTACGATTTTTTTATTTATTGTTTTGAAAGAAATTAATACTTTTATTCAGCAAGGATGCATTAAATTTATCAAAAGTGACAGTGAAGATTTTTACATTGTCACAAAAAAAATTATATTTGAAATAAATGCAGTACTCTTGAACTTTCAATTCATCAAAGAATTCTGAAAAAGGTTATATTTCTTAAGCACCAAATCAGGATATTAGAATGATTTCTGAAGGATCATGTGACACTGAAAACTGGAGTAATGATGCTGAAAATTCAGTTTTGCCATCACAGGAATAATTTCACAGTATATGAAACTAGAAAACAGTTATTTTTAAACTGTAATAATATTTTACAATATTACTGTTTTTACTGTATGTTTGATCAAATAAATGCAACCTTGGTGAGCATAAGAGGCTTCTTTTAAAAACATTAAAATATTGAACTGAACCCAAAACTTATAAACGGTAGTGTAATAATTTGTTTGCATTTTGTATTGATGTATTTTTAACATTCTATGTACAAGCATGAATTAAGCATGAACAGTGGCATATAATGGTATAAAAATTAGCATTAACGTAAATTAACAATCTGTAAAAGTAATGGAAAATGTTGTAAAAAGTTGTGGAAATTGCTGTAGTGAAAGAATGTCTCTGGTTATTCTCTCTATAGTGGCTTAGAATAAACCCATTTTCTTCTCGTGTCTCCACAGATTCACGCCCTCATCACCGGTCCCTTCGACACACCATATGAGGGAGGCTTCTTCCTCTTCCTGTTCCGCTGTCCTCCTGACTATCCCATCCACCCTCCACGTGTCAAACTTATCACTACCGGGCACAACACTGTTCGTTTCAACCCCAACTTCTACCGCAACGGCAAAGTTTGCCTCAGCATCCTCGGGTAAGGATGATTTCTTTTTGTGATTGGATTCCCACATATATTTACTTGGCCACTTTTAGTTCCAAAATTAAGGCCTGTTTACACCAAGGACAATAACTATAAAGTTTTAACATTCATTCTAATTCTAGTCCACACCTCATCTATAACAACACATGATTAATATCATTGAAATCACTTTCAGAGTATTTTTTTTTTGCAAATGAACAATAATAATATAGTTATCGTTACAGTTAGCATTATCGTCCTTGTTCTAAACAGGCCTTTATTCAGATCCTGATTTTGATGGCTGTTTCTTTCCACAGCACTTGGACTGGTCCAGCATGGAGTCCTGCCCAGAGCATCTCCTCCGTTCTCATATCCATACAGTCCCTAATGACAGAGAACCCTTACCATAATGAGCCAGGCTTTGAGCAGGTACTACAGCTCCCACAATGCATTCTTAGTATAGAAGGCCTTTATGAGGGCCTCCTGTAATCTGTTTTTTATTTTGTTCACAGTAAATGCTATAGTTTATTCTGCACTGTCATCTGTTTGATAGGAAAGGCATCCAGGTGACAGCAAAAACTATAATGAGTGTATCCGCCACGAGACCATGCGAGTTGCAGTGTGCGATATGCTAGAGGGCAAAGTGTCATGTCCCGAGGCCTTGCGGTGAGTGATTATCCCTCATTTTGCATAATCATGGTTATTTTTAAAGGACTTGTAGGCCGCACTAAACCTTTAAATGTATTACTATAAGTGATGCACCGAAATTTTGGCAACCAATCATTTTCGTCCGAAACTGCCCTTTTCAGTTTCTGTGTTTTGACTGTGTCAGTGTCTATTTTGTGCTCACGACGTGGATAAACTATCAACAGGTGTGGGCGCTAGTGCTGGATTAACAAATTCTGTTCATTTTATCATGAAATACAAAAAATATATACTGATTTGTCACTCTTTAATGTAGAGTGAGAGATCTCAGTTTAAGCGGCATATGAATCATCTCTTTGCTTTTACTAGCACAAAATAAACATTAATGAACGTCAGATGGTACGTTGAAGGAAACAGTAATTTACTGAAATGTATTTTGTCTCATGTAATCACTCGATGAGTGTTTTGACAGCAAAAATATATCAGTAAAAAAACTGCTTACAACGTTACATTTACCTCAGGAAAGACATTCAACGTCCATAAACTGGTTAGTCAGCTAGAAAAAAAATAACTCTAGAGAGGAGCATTTTAATAAATAAATGTACTGTATTAGGCAAGGCAAGTTTATTTATATAGCACATTTCATACACAATGGTAATTCAAAGTGCTTTACATAAAGAAATTAAAAAATTATTTAAAAAATAATCACAACAATAAAACAAGGAATTTAAAAGTACCGTACTGAGCCGTGCCGAGTCGTACCACGCAGTGGAAAAGCCATTAGACCATTAGACTTATGCTCTCCTATATTCGCATAATAACCTCTCCCTTCTAAGTATGACCTGAACCATTTGATTACCATCCCA